CGACGATTACAGAAAACAAAGGAAGCATAGGATTTGAAAATGATAAAGACATTTTTTGTAGTGAACTTCATGGGCCATTGCTTGGTAAAAAAGAATATTTTTTCATCATTTCATATTTCAAATATTGGGTCTACAAAGTCAATCATTTTGGAAAAATTTGAATCTGTCGAAATAAAATGTTCTCTACCTACAGTCAGTAGAGATTCTTCGGAATTTCTGTATGATATAAATCGATGAAGACGTCCATTAGTAAGTCAGATATGTTTCGAAAGTTTCACGATAACTCAACGAATTACACATACTAAGACATACGATTGAACATGGAGCCATGATTGGGTAGGTTAATGTTTGATTTATAAAGTTATTTTATCAGTAGCTCTTCTGGAACCATTGTGAGAGGTAAAAGGTTAAGCCCCCCCCCCCCCCCACTCAAAAAAAGTCAATTTTTGTCAGAATTTTCGAAATTGAGATAACTGCATGGGAAGATAGCCCGTCTTCAGATCTTTCCGATATAATATGATTTTTTATCGAACGCCCCTTTTTTGGCTGAAAATTTTGATGATTTCTGTAGTCGGCTGCGTGAAAAATATGGTTTTTCCTGGAAAAAACGGATTTTGAGGTTTTTGAATGGAAAATAAGTATTTTGATGGAAACTAGAGACGTTTCAACAAGTTTTATTAATTGTTATAGAAAAACCAAAATTCATAAAATAAAAAATGAGAAATAGACTAACTGATCGAAAAGAAAAAAAGCTTTATTTAAAAAAAACTTTGATCTGACAAAGTTCACATAAAAAATTGTTTCATAAACTGTTACTTATTCTTCTTCTTTCCATCTTCTTCTGTCTTTTGGATTATAATAACCATATTCGTTATCACTAGTTCCATCATTTCTTTCAATATCTTCATTTGTTTTCGTATCAAGACTAAGAATTGTTTTATCATCACTATCCGTTGATGAATCATCACTACTGGATGTCGAATCACGATCATCTGTGATACATTCATCACTATCAGTTGTTGTATCATTATCTTCAGATGTTGGTTGATTATCAGAGTTTGTTTCATTATAATCATCATCCGTTTGTTTATCACTATTGATTGTTTTATCATTATCATCACCGGGTGCATTATTATTATTTGTTTGATCATTATCAACATTTTTCTGTACACCACGATCAGCTTCTTTTCTTGTTTTTCTGTTATTTGTTTTTGATTCGGAGTGGAGACGACTGTTGTCAAAATGAATCATTGCTTGATTGGTATAATGACCACGATAACCACAGATGTTGTTGAATAGATCTCCTGTGCAAAAGTAAAACAAATTTTTATTTTATATATGTAAATATTTCAATTATAATTTAAAAAAACTTCTGAAAATATTCGTATCGGCTTACCTAATGTAAAATATCCATCATTAAATAGTATTATTACAAGATGGAATGCAGTTTCAAATGTTGTTCCAGATGTTGTTTTGTGTTTTGGTGACATAAGCCAGACAAGCGAATGAAAACCTTCGTTTTGATTCTGACTTGATGCATCAACTACACGCGCAAGACTTTCCCGAAAACAGAGGTTTTCAAAAACAGGCTTGATCGCATCAAGGACAGGATGAGGTAAAGCATGTGGTGTATGATCATATGGTGTTCCATTACGAACAGCTTTTAAATAACCACATCAATCGATACTGCAAGAATCATGACGAGGATCATCATTGGTCGAATATTTATGCCAAAATATAGCCCAAGATCGTTTTAACAACAAATCCAGATCGTGTTTGCATTTTCGGACGGTAGAAGCAAATGCCATTTGCAATCGGATGATATTTTGACCTAAAACAAAAAAAACCATTCAGATTTCTGGTTTGTTTCGTTTGCAAATTTTTGCCTGTCCTAAAAAGACTTACTGGAAAGACGATTTTCACCACCAATAGTTTTACCATCAGATAATTTTTCTCGTCCATATTCACGTTTTTTTTGTTTCCAGTTGACGTTTCATTCTTTTGCTAAAATGATTCAAGTCTTCAATTTTCTTGATCACTTTTCCTAAAAAAAAGAAGACTGTTGATAGTGTTTCAATATAAAACGCAATATTTTTTTTGAAATAAAATAGATTATATTATACCTGGATATGGTTTTGCATTTGAAAGGCTAGCAAATGTTTTTGAATCACCATCACCAACGTAACTTGTGTAGTAAATTCCATATTTAGAAACTGATCGCTTGAACATGTTAAGAACAGCATCAGCTTCTATTGTACCCGAACTTTTGTTGTAGTTTTTTTCACATTTATGTGATCTAATAACATCATTATATTTAACTGGATTAGATTTCTTAATAGCAAGTGCACCTGAAAAAAAAAGATATAATCAAGAAAACAACAAAAAGAGAAACTCACCCATACAAACATTACATGTTTTACTACATGTTTCAATATCAAGTACTTTTGGTGTTGTGTTACAAGAAAGAAGAGCTGCTGCACCATGTCTACTTTGAAAATCTCGGGTCTGCCAAAATCCATCTCCACTAACCATTAATTCTCGACCATTTGCAGCAGTCACAGCTTCATTAACAGCTCTTGTCATAGATCGGTTTGAAAATGATTTTATTGAAAGTAATAAATTTTTATCCCATTTGGAATGGATTTGATCTTGAATTGGACTTGGCAAATTCATAGCACCCATTAATTTTGCTAATCCAGCATATCTAATACCATACAAATGGCCACCAATTTGTGATCGAATATTAATATCTCGACGATCTGATGCAACAACCTTCGGACTTGTTTCTGAAAAAATTAGAAAGAAATGTTGCACGTATTAATAATATGCATACGGTTTCGATAGTCTGAAGTAGTTACTTACCAATAGTGATGGTATTGTTACATGATAAACATTGAAAAGATAAAATCACAAATAAACCTTCACGTTTGTTGATGTTCATTTCTCCATTCCAACGATTTTTGCAACTTTGACAATTCGTTTTGCACATAAGAGAAAATAACATTTGATTTTGCAAGATTGTGTATCCATTCATAGGTACATTTGAATTTGAATTTTCTGATGTTGATGTTATATCCAATTTTATTCTTTTCGTAATCTTCTGTCGTGATGGGAAAGATGAATGTTTTGAAGATGTTGATAGATTTGACGTTGTTGTTCGTAATGTTGATGTTGTATTCGATTTTAATGATGATGCAGGTGGTGGCGGTACATTTTGACGAGCATATCTTGCCAATGCACGTTTGCTATTCCTAGTATAAAAACCTTGTTTATTATAAGAATAAGAAATTTTAGATTAGTTTTTGTTTTTCATTTTTATATAAATCAAGACAATCAGTAGTTTTAGGTGCAGAATAATTCCATTAAATAGGCATATACAAAATAGAAGCTTGATTCGAAGCACTCACCGTCTTGTATAACCTCTCTTCGTCGGCATTATTTTTAAGATCACCACGTTCAAATATGAAATTTTAATACTATGATAAGTAAATAATCTATAACAAATAAAATATTAAAAAGCAACATTTGTCTACGAAAATAAGATTTCAAACTTGCTTTTAACCCTCTCAATATCTCACGTCATCTTGTAGAAGACATATAGCAAGAAAAAACAAGGTCGCTATTGAAAGAGTTGAAAACACAGTAACAAAACTATACATACGTAGCGAAAACAAATGGAACACGAATTTTTATATATGCTTTGAGTACAGCTAGACCTCGACTCCGATCAAAACAAGAGCGGAGAAGAACAAGAGAAAGAGAAATATGGAGAACCATATAATTCAGTACCACCGACATGGATTTTCTTCATCTGCCATTTATGGCGTTATTTTTGCGAGTCCTCCTTCTCTCCAGCTCGCTCATTCGCTTACTCTTTCTTCCTATCGTGTCCATTTTTACAAACCATAAGTAATGCTTTAGTCATCTAAAGGTCATGAAATGTTTATTATGTATATAATTTATAATGAAAATATGATCAAGTCAATATACAATTGATCGTAGTACAATGTTTTCAACCAAGTCCTATATGATTACGTCGTAGAAGATAGAACTATTTGTGTAATGAAACTCAACAAATCACGAAGAAGAAGTTTATTTTACAAAGATATATGACAGTTGACGGTTATTCTCTTGAAATGTACCGAAAAAAACGTCTAAAAGTACAAAAATCTCAAAAAATTTCAGTTCAAAAAATGTTTTTCGTTTTTTCTCGAATTATGATTTTTTGATCTTCTGACAAGGAATTCTCGGTCCAGGCCCTGTCAATATATTTAAATTTTTTTTTGTTTGAAAGAGCATGTCAAGATGCAGGGCACCACAGAGTCCTTTTTTTAATTAAGCTTTGTTTTTTATTATATATACAGATACTTATGTGACTGGACACCCATTTTTGGCGCCTTTTTTGAGTCATCGGACTTGCGAGCCCTTTTCTCCGCGAAAAAAGTAAGAATCGAAAAAAAAGGACTCTGTGGTGCCCTGCATCCTGAGATGCTCTTTCAAACAAAAAAATTTTTAGATATGCTAACAGAGTCTGGACCGAGAAATCCTTGTCTGAAAATAGACTATTGTTGACCCTTGTTTGGTTCATATCTCTGTCAAACATCAGGATATCGAGCTGAAAATTTTACCACAGCCTCCTCACACCAGTCCCAACATATGCTCCAAATTTCAGCCCTTTTGAACTTACCTGGGCTGATATCGATTTTTGAGTGGGGGGAGGCCTTTAGGGGACCCCCCCCTCCTTCCCGACTCAAAATTTTCACATTTTTCATTTTTCATTGTTTGTGATTAGTATATAGATTTAAATGCCCTCTATCCATTGAGTACACTTTGAGAACTGAAAAACCACATCTTATATATAAAAAATTCGAAAAAAATCACAAAATATGCTGAAAAAACCAAAAAACACAAATTTCTTTGCGTTTTTCTCAAAATCAGTTTTTTCAGCAGAAAAATGAAGTTTTCCCCCTTTTTCTCCGCCATTTCAAGTGCGATCGGGCTGGAAATTGTTTTGGTGAGACTTCAAGTGATTTGGGTTGGACGTTTTTTTTCTTTTTTTGGATACCTTCTACCAATCAAGTTTGGCAGGCTTCGCAAAATTTTTAGGATCCAAAAAACCTAGAGATTTTGCAAAGTGCTCAGTATTTTGGTTCTCCAGTCTGAAGTATTTGGAATTTTTGAAAAAAAAAAACGCCCACCCGGATTGGGCCCGTCTACCCACAGTAAAAATTTCAGCTCAAACGGATGAAATCTGTGGATTTGCGGGGGGAAAACGTTTTGCAAGTTTTTGGCCTTGGGGTCTCTGGAAGTCCATGAAGATGACGTCTGGCAAATTTGTGTCTATGACAACTTTTGCTCTACTACTCGAGGTCTATCTACCCTGCAAGTTTCAGGAATTTTTGTTCGGCCGTTTCTTAGAAACGCCGGAAAAGGGGGGTCCCCTTAATGAAAAATAATATTAGAGGAAAATTAGGTTTATTCATTTTGGAATTAATGTCGATAAAATTGAGATATTTTGTTTCACAATGAAAAGTAAATAGAATTTATCTGAAATTGTTTCATGAAAAAAAACATGTAGTTTTTTTAAGATATGAATTCAAAATTTCGAAGAAAAAATTAAAACCTATTAGTCAATCAATCTCCAATGCTCAAAGGTATTTTGAACTGTTTTTATATTTATCTTTTATCAATTTTTCGTCAGAATCTAACAACAAAGAGAAATTATCACTTTAGGATATTTGACTAAACGAGGAAATTTATTGGCTCTTATTTCTCAGTGCTTTTTTTTGCTTTCATCTTCGTTTTTTTTCAATTTAGATAAGTGTCATCGAATTAACAATGAGTCATTCAAAATAAAAAAGTGTCAATTTTTTCTTTTATCAATTTAACTGTTTTTTTGTATTCACATGAGTAAGTGCAAGATTACAATCATATTTACGTCAAAAATCAAAAATAATGATAATCTATTAAGCAAAAGTATATTCAGATTACATATTATTTTGTTTAAAATTCAATTGAATGTTTAGATCTTCTAATTGATCGATCAAAATTTTATTCGTGTGTCGAGAAAAGGATTTGTCGTTGTAATAATAAACAATTATGATGAAAAAAATATTCTCAAAATTCTTCGACTTTTTTTGTCAAGTACACAGAACGATAGAAACAAATGACTCACAAGAAATTGTAAACAATGAAATTTCAATAAAAGAAAATTTTTTATTTAATGTAAGTCTATATTTTAGTACTAAAGAACTGTACCAAAGGCAATGTAATTGATTAGCAGATTTTAATGTAGGAAGAGATTTGTCGAATATTTATTGTATGTTAAAACATCGACTGTGTGTCCCTATTGTAGAGTAGCGATGAATCCGATAGAGAAAAAAATCGTTTCAAATTTCGTTTTTGTTCCTTTTAAATCTTTATGCATAGGGATCCAGCTTTGTATTAGAAATCAATCACATCTACTCGTGAGTAGAGTCCGTCGGGTGCAAAAATTTCGGACTCGGAACCGGACCCGGTTTATTAAATTTTTTTGGACCCGATTGGATCCGGGTTCGGGACCAACCCAACAGGCTCTACTCGTGAATGTTGCAGTAGCACTACAATGAATAGTCATTCCTACTCAGAAAAAAATTGGCTAACCAATAAGAACTTATAGTGTTCCTAAATTTTCCAAGCTTCTTCTATATATTAGAGTCAGATTATTTAATACATCATGTGTGTATTTTATACAACTGTGTAGATAGCAGAGATAAGATTGGTTCGTGTCTTTATGGAATCGAACCGATCCCATTTCTAATAGTTACTATTGTAGGATTGATCCATAGTCTATGATTTTATTTATTGCTATCTTGACGAATGCGTTTTCCGTCATATATATTTGGCATCTGCGTCGATCAAAAGAATCCAAGTTCAATTAAACCAACATTTAATAGGTGGCACGCAATGAGTGATCTTCTATATTGTTTGTTATTAATAAGAGTTGACTTGTTCTTCGGCTTTTTGTTGTTTGTTTTTTTTAAAATTTAACATTAAAATATCTAAAACAAAATAAACTTACCTATAACTTCACCACCAGAGAGAAGATCAACTAACCACCAAAAATACATAAACAAAAGTAGCACTTCCATATTTTCGCGTGATTTTTATGTATATAAGTTTTTCCTAGAAGAATAATATTTTATATTTCATACGTCCTTGTACATGAATATTATCGCGAGACAACAATGACCAGTAAGTGGAAGAAAATGACAAAAACATTGTGAAATTGTTTTGAATAAATCTTTATTTAATCACAAAAAAAACGTTACAATAATTTGAAATGCATAATGCACTAACAAGTTAGTGTATACTCAAATTTTCAAATATCATGCCTTTGAGAAAAATTAAATTCAAGCAAAACAACCTTTTGATGTCGACTGGCAACTATTGCGAGCTAGGGAAGGAACAAAATGAGCCCATGCATCTATCTTTCATTGAAGTATTCGAACAACTAATAAATAAATATTTAATATATTTTAGGCAATATACATTTACCATCATCGTCAGATTCATAAATTTAGGTTATATCAATTATCATTCAATAACAATTAGAATAGTTTAAAATAAACTAATTATTATTGGTTAAATAGATTCGTCAATATCTATTGATATATCGTATGTCTGAAGCAAGTTTTGTTGACACAAATGATCTCTGCGAATATTATACAAATTATCCATTAAATGTTACACTGAGATATAGACTCAATAAACTTGTTGGTTTTACAATTTGTTATAGATATTGAAATTTGTATGACTTTAAAATAAACAAGATAAATAAAATGATTTAAATTATTCTTTTTATTCTTTAGAATGATTCATTTTTAAAATAGATATTAGTAAATTAATAAAACGAAGAATTATTTTTTTCAATAAAAATAAAATTCTATTCAAATTTAATTTTTAAAAATAAACTTATTTTTTAGATTGTTTTTTTTTAAATGTTTTTTCTCGTTTATTTATATTTGTTATTGTGATTATAAACAGTAAATATGGCTACATCATCTCCATCTACAACTAATGTAACACCACAACAAATTGGTAAAGCATTTGTTGTTCAATATTATCGTCTTCTTCATGAACATCCTGAATCTTTACATCGTTTTTTTTCTGCATCATCAACATTTATGCATGATGATCTGACAAAAACTGTAACTGGTATAGAAGCTATTGCTAAACGTATTGAAGAATTATCATTAAAACAACGTCATGTTAAAATTCGTCAAGTTGATTGTCATTTCACTGTAGGTTCATCAATTGTTATACAAGTTTGCGGAGAAATATCATCAACACCTGTAACTGATACTCAAACTCAACCGATTATGAAACGTTTTGTTCAAACATTTGTATTAACATCAGCAGATAATTCAAAACAAAAATATTATGTACACAATGACATACTTCGATATCAAGATAGTCCAACAACAATTTTAACAAATGATAATAATACAAGAATGTCGCCAACAATAACGAATAATAATGAAGGTACTAGATTCATTATGGATTATTTCGTAGTTGTGGTTTTTTTTTTGAATAGTTTACAAATCTTGAATCGGAAAACTTGAGAACATTGTAATAACTTGGAAGCAGAAATTTGGAGATCCGAATCAATGGTTATGTTACGACCGGAGCTGGAAAAATTCAGCCATTGCCTTCCCAGCTCCAAGTTCTTCCCATTTTTCCGGCTGAAAAGAGCATCTTTCCAGCGAGAACCTACCAGAATATTATATATGGGGGCGACCAACTTGACTGGTACCCCAAGATACAGAACAGGAAATGATATTATTCCAAGGAGTAGCATATAATGAATTTTATACCAAATGAAAGCTCGTCAAAAATGTTGTGACGATTTCTGTTGAAAGAATTGTTAGCGCTGGCGGAATTACGCTTTATTATATTCTTCTTCTCAAGAATCGCATCGTTTACACATAAAGCATACGCTTATATACTCGTCCATAAAAGAGAAGGAGAGAATAGGAAAGGAAACGACAACAAGGATAGAAGATAAGTACAGTATGATAGGGACGAAGTACAGGACAGAAGTATAAGGACAATATATAAGATGAGAAGAAATAGCAAGAAGAGGAAAATATCATGCATACGATATATGCTACGGAAACGTTACATAGGTATCATTAGGATCAAAAAAATTTAATGACCACATTCTACTTGACTAGGAGCAAACATATGTTTTTATAGTCAACTTGATGTGTTAAATTAGAAAAGAACATTTTCACATATTTAGAAAGACACTAAAAAATAAAACTGTCGATTAATCCCTTCAAAACAGTAAAAATGGCTGTTTTATGAAATTTTCTTTGTTCGAAAAATTTTCTCTAGGAAAAATCGTTGTCGAAATAAGAAAATTACTTTTTCCTAGATAACTCAACGCGCTCTTTCCAACTGTGCATAGATATCAAAAAAGAAAAAAAATTGTAAAAATTTTGCATTTCCAAGATCTTATATAATCACAATTGTCCGTTAAAAATGACTCATTTCTAACATTTCATTTTTTAGTGTCTAATGAATTAAAATCTATGTTTATGGGTTTAAATGATCAATTGAAAAACAGTTTGGATGGATTCAATAAGACACTGGAAGGTTTCAAAGGACAATTAGATACAAACTTCACTTCTGTCAATAAGACACTGAAAGGTTTCAAAGGACAATTAGATACAAACCTCACTTCTGTCAATAAGAATATTCGAAATTTAGAAAAAAGTTTAACAAACGATTTGATCAATTATCACATAAAATCGATGATATCTATGAGCGTGGTGCAATATTAGCAATAATAAATCGTCTTCGTGCTGATCATGAATTAGATATACAACATTTACCAAGTAATC